GCAGTACTGTGTCTAATATTTCAGATTTAAACTGCAGAATGGAAGGAAAGGAGGACCTTTTTCTGCCTTCCCACTTCTAGCTACTCTCTGAAGACTGAAGAAGAAACCCTCTTAAGAATATTAGGGGAGTGAGTAGGGGAAGGACTAGACCATGTGAAAAATGAACACAATATTTTAGCTGCAGTTCATTCATTTTCAGCTTTGTATTCTTGTTATAAAAAAAGTACCTAGACATTCTGTTGTTGTGCCCATAACCTAGGTTTACAGTGCTATTTAGTTCCTAGCTTTCATATCTCAGTTTCTAACACTGGTGCAACCAGTGTTACCGATAAATTCGAACCACATGTTACAGGTAAATTACATTTATAGGTAAATTCAAACCACATGTTATGGACAACAAGTAAAGGGTATCGGAAGAAGATATGCCAGCTCACTTCACAAAAATTCAGGACAATTTAGATAGGCTCTGCATAGATTATGCGAAATTGGTGCTTCTTTATGTCAATACCAGCAAAGGTGGTCAGCACCTTGGTCTACTGATCTGAAAAAAGCCCAGATTAATACTCCCACTACACCTTGGGTTTTGCAAGGAGGCAGATTAAGAGATTTATAAAACAAGGACTTGGGGATTCTGGGTCAGGTCAGGATTCACATAAGCAGCATGCTAGGATTAAGAAAGATAAATCTAGAATATTTGTGTGTGTTTCTAGTTGAAAGTTCAGGTGCAGTTTTCAAAACTGTTTCTATATTAACTGAGATTACCGTATTTTAAAACCAAGGTTATGTTGGCAACTGTTAAATAAAGTATATATCAACCAAGGTTTTTATTTTTCTTCTTTTACTTAACTAGCACTCTCGCTAGCTGCTGAAGTAACTACATTTGACCTAAATTCTATATTCTCAGCATTATATTCTAATTCCCACCATCCCTAAAGAGTGCATTATACTGGAAATCCGCTTTAATAATGTGCACTGTCTAATAGGTTGCAGGGAATGAAATTGTTCACACTGTGGGCAATTTTCCTGTTACTAGCAAATAGCAAACTAATTAGCAACTTGACTAGCATAAGCTGCAGTGGTTCAGGGTAGTGTGACACAAGCTCGTTTCTGATGAGAAGGGTAGAGTAGATATTTCTGCCCAGCAACTTAGGGACCGCAGCCCTTCATTATTATCACTTACGTTTGCCACTTTGCGCCGGTCTCTAGAAAACAGATTGGATGCAGAAAGAGGCATCATGCATAGAAAGGGCTGCAGGGCCCAGCCGTGAGTTTGTCTTGGTCCTTGGCCCTACCATAACATGCATGTGTTAGGTGTGGATGTCTGCAAGTGAAACCAAGTTGCGCATGGAAACAGCTTTCATAGAGGTCTACCCATGTAAGCTGTCGCCTGCAGGCATCAACGGTTAACATAGAATGGGGCCAGGGGAAGCTGCACAACCCTGAGGTGGACTTTAGTAGCATAAGTCCTTTCTACGTGTAAAACACATAGGAAGCTGCCTTCATACTAGTGGTCCATCTACCTTCATATGGTCTACACTAGCTGGCAGCTGCTCTCCAAAGAGCATTACCAGGCTTACCTGGAGATACTGGGGTATGAAACTGGGACCTACTGCATGCAAAGCAGCCCTTCATTATTATCACTTACGTTTGCCACTTTGCGCCGGTCTCTAGAAAACAGATTGGATGCAGAAAGAGGCATCATGCATAGAAAGGGCTGCAGGGCCCAGCCGTGAGTTTGTCTTGGTCCTTGGCCCTACCATAACATGCATGTGTTAGGTGTGGATGTCTGCAAGTGAAACCAAGTTGCGCATGGAAACAGCTTTCATAGAGGTCTACCCATGTAAGCTGTCGCCTGCAGGCATCAACGGTTAACATAGAATGGGGCCAGGGAAGCTGCACAACCCTGAGGTGGACTTTAGTAGCATAAGTCCTTTCTACGTGTAAAACACATAGGAAGCTGCCTTCATACTAGTGGTCCATCTACCTTCATATGGTCTACACTAGCTGGCAGCTGCTCTCCAAAGAGCATTACCAGGCTTACCTGGAGATACTGGGGTATGAAACTGGGACCTACTGCATGCAAAGCAGAGAGCTGTGGCCCTTCCCCTATGATTCACGTGCAAAGGGGGTACGAAAGGCCTGTAGCAAAACTGTTGGTGTTCCCTTCAATCAAGATGGATATCATACTGCAGCTTTTAAGGCCACTTACACCAGTGCAGTCTCAATGAACACCCAGTGAAATCTCTCTGTAATGTGGTCTGATTATTGCAATGTAAAGGAAGAAATACTGTAGTTTAGTTTTGGTGCTAGAGTCTCTGCAGTGCATTTGTAGGCTCTGGTTCTGATGCTCTTCCTGGTCAGATAGGAGTATAACTACTAAGTCAAAGGAAGTTGCTCTGATCAGTTGAACAGAGAAGTCAGAGCTATATGCCTTGCTTAACTTATAAAATGAGAATAAAATGAGCATTAGTGGTTCCCTCCATCCTGAAATCATTATGGCCTTTTTTTTATATTGGAGGCTTACTGTAATTACTCCTGATTGCAATTAAAAAGAGAATCTCATCTAGCTATGAATATGTTATAATTTAAAACAGAGAAGAGCTATTTAAACAATTCAGTTCTTTGAAAACTTGGAATATAATGAAAGGCAATAAAACATGCAAAAGGAAAGGTTTTTTTCTACCTAAGAACACAGTTGAAAGTTACTGCATGCTTTTATTTTTAATTAACAATAGGAAGGTGACCGCCTGAGTGATGAAGACCTGTATAAGTTTCTTGCGGATATGAGAAGGCCATCTTCTGTTCTACGGAGGTTGAGGCCTATCACAGGTATTTTGGTGATCTTTCTGAGAAGGCTGAGGCCTTTTTTTAGTTTAGTAGCCACTGATACCTTGAATGGCTTCAATTTTGTTTCTGTATCTGTTTAAGTATTTTGTTCTTCAGTAAGAGTACTGTATGTGGGTCCAGTAAACCATTTTATAACACATGAGTAGCTTCCATGAGATTCAAACATTGGACAGAGAACTAATTCCTTATTTTTCCATAGCTTATCAGTGCTGAACTAGAAAAGTAATATTACAAATTAATCTTGTTTTCTCCCACTATTCCTCTGAAACTGTTGTTTATGTGGCTGGCTCCCTTGGTTTTTTTGGATCTGAACGACTCAGAATTCGGCCCCCAGGAGGAACAAAGTCTGAGAGGCCTTATGAGTCATTCTTGATAGCAGCAATTATTTTTCCAACAATGCCTTAAGCAAGTAAAACCTCTTCTAGAGATTGACAACCCTAACCTTCCAGTATATTATTTGCTGTTGCGCCAAATTCCTTCTTTTGGAAAAGAATTGTAAATATTTACTTTCTTGCCTTTTGACTATTAAACTCAAATAGGTATTACAAGTAAAGCCCCCAAACTGATCAGATCTTAAAACAATTTTACTAACCTTTTGACACAAGGCTGAAAAGTTGTTTCTCCTCTTCTTTCTGACTTAGCACCTGGTCGTGGCAGGCTGGTAGATAGACCAGTGATCAGACAGGCTGCTAGTGGACCGGTGATCAGACTCAAGATAAGGCAGCTACCTATGTTCCTATTAAAACATACATGAGCAAGTGGTCTTTCAGAAAGCGAAACTCTTACTTTTTTTAATGCAGAACAAGAAAATATTTAATGGCACGCTTTTAAAATAAATAAATAAAAAGAAGGGTGTTAAACATTATTTTCTTGTTTTCCAAAGCAGTAGCTCTACTTACTAACTAGAAGCATATTTTTAAGTGATTAAGCAGCAACATTGTTATGTTAACACTACACACACAAACGATAACACTATATCACTATATTATCCCAACACTGCTACTATATCATGATGCCTGCCTACCTATGCAAAGCAACATTAGAACTTGGTGGCTAAAAGTGGGGAAAAGGACCATATTTTGTTTTGTTTTTTTATATAATATTTATTGGTTTTGCAAAAAAAAAAAAAAAAAAAATTCCAAAAGATGCAAAAATACAAAAATTCGACAGACAACAATAACAATGACAAAAAGCAAACAAAGATAACAATTTCCATAACAAAGAAAGAAAAAAAAGAAAAAAAAAGAAAAAGAAAACAGAAAAATTTAAAAGATATTATACTTTCATTTAACCTTCTTATCTTTCCCTAGTTCTTTGACTTCCCCGCATCTCCCCGCTTGTATTTCCATTTAAGAACTCCTTTCAGCAAATCCTTACCCTCCTTTCTTTATCTTAACTCAAAAAACTTAATCTATTTATATATAAATATTTTTACAACCTTATCAATCAAATATTCCATGCTCTTAATCACAAAGCTTTTGCCAATACCAGTTGTTTTCAATCAGACCTCAATTTAACATTCATTAATTTTATAGTATTTCTGTAAATAGTCTTTAAATTTCTTCCAATCTTCTTCCACCGACTCTTCTCCCTGGTCACGGATTCTGCCAGTCATCTCCGCCAGTTCCATATACTCGATTACCTTCATCTGCCATTCTTCCAGAGTGGGTAAATCTTGTGTCTTCCAATACTTTGCGATGAGTATCCTTGCTGCTGCTGTTGCATACATAAAAAAAAGTTCTATCTTTCTTTAGCACCAATTGGCCAACAATGCCCAAGAGAAAGGCCTCTGGTTTCTTTAGAAAGGTATACTTAAATACCTTTTTCAACTCATTATATATCCTTTCCCAGAAGGCCTTAATCTTTGGGCACGTCCACCAAAGGTGAAAGAATGTACCTTCAGTTTCCTTACATTTCCAACATTTATTATCGGGCAAATGGTAGATTTTTGCAAGCTGGACTGGGGTCATGTACCACCTGTACACCATTTTCATTATATTCTCTTTTAAAGCATTACATGCTGTAAACTTCGTACCTGTGGTCCATAACCGTTCCCAGTCAGCAAACATAATGTTGTGTCCGACATCCTGTGCCCATTTGATCATAGCAGATTTTACCATTTCATCCTGAGTGTTCCATTTTAGCAGCAAGTTATACATTCTTGAAAGTGTTTTAGTTTTGGGATCTAGCAGTTCTGTTTCCAACTTTGATTTTTCCACCTGGAAGCCAATTTTTCTATCCAAATTATAGACCTCTCTTATTTGGTAGTAATGCAACCAATCTCGCACTCTATCTTTTAATTTTTCAAAACTCTGCAATTTGAATTTATCTCCTTCTTGTTCCAAGATCTCCCAATATTTTGGCCAGTTGGCCTCCATATTGGACTTTTTTAGGGCCTTTGCCTCCATTGGTGATAGCCACCTTGGGGTTTTATTCTCCAATAAGTCTTTATATCTTATCTAGACATTGAACAATGCTTTCCTGACAATATGGTTTTTAAATATTTTGTGAGCTTTAACCTTGTCATACCACAAATATGCATGCCACCCAAACACATTATTGAAACCTTCTAAGTCTAAAACATCAGTATTTTCCAGAAGTAACCAATCCTTCAACCAGCAGAAAGCTGCTGATTCATAATAAAGTTTAAAGTCTGGCAGGGCAATCCCCCTCTTTCTTTAGCATCAGTCAATATTTTAAATTTTATCCTGGGCCTCTTGCCCTGCCAGACAAACTTAGAGATATCTCTCTGCCACTTCTTAAAACAGTCCATTTTGTCTATTATTTGTATCGATTGAAACAAAAACAGCATTCTTGGCAATACATTCATCTTGATGACAGCAATTCGACCTAACAAGGAAAGCTTCAAATTTGTCCATATTTCTAAATCCTTTTTAATGTCCGACCAACACTTTTCATAATTGTCTTTAAATAAATTCCCATTTTTAGCTGTCATGTGGATCCCCAAAGATTTCACTTTTTTTACCACTGTTAAACCTGTCTCATTCTGAAACCTCTCTTTTTCAATCGGTGTTAAATTCTTCTCAAGTACTTTAGTTTTAAACTTATTCAGCTTGAAACCTGCCACCTGACCAAACTCTTGAATCAGTTCTAATGCTCTTTTTGTACTAGATTCTGGCTCCTGTAATGTCAGTACAAGGTCATCTGCAAATGCTTTCAGCTTATATTGTTTCGCTCCGACCGTTATACCCTTAATCAGATGGTCCCTTCTTATCATATTTAACAAAACCTCCAGAACAAAGGACCATATTTTGTAAAGTTTTCCTGATTCACCACCTGGTGATGATTGTTACTCATCATGGGCAGCCAGGCAAATGGTTGCTTATCAGATTGGTTATACTGCTAATTTTTCTTTATAGCTCAATTGAAGATAGACATTTCTCCAGCCCCAGAAAACCCACATTACTGTCTAACACCAGAGTTGCTGCAAGTCAAACTTTACCCTGATAGCAGAGTACGACCAACAAGAGAGATCCTGGAGTTTCCTGCAAGGGATGTTTATATTCCAAATACAACATACAGGTAAGAGTGGAATTTAGATTTTAATTAGTTCACACAGTGCATGGTGCTCTCTTTCATCCAGATGCAGTGATTGAGGCAGATCACACAGAGATTGATGAGTCTGTTCAGGATAATCACACTTTCAGTAATCAGGTAATTGCTCAGAGAACAAAGAGTCTTCAGGGGAAGCTTTTTAATTTCTCGTTTAGTAGCCTGTATCCTCTGGATTTTGTTTTCATATTTCTGGGAGCTGATTAGAGTCACCAGTTCTTAGTTTAGTGCATATTCAGAGGATTACATAAGATATACTAGTTGGTTGTTATCCTGTTGTTCATACAATCCGGTAAAAAATAAAATAAATGTCGATGCCCTAAGTCTTTCAATTCCTATTTCTAGGAATGTTCTCCTAGTGTTGTATTCATCTTTGCTTTGTTTAATTCTAAATTTTATCTGTCATGTTCTCATAATTGCTGTTTAGAATTTTATATTTTAACAATTCATCCAGATTCCTAATTTATCTTTCTGTGGCTACAATCTTATGCTCTTATCTGGAAATAAGCCCTCTTGAATCCATAAGGACACAGGCTTGTGCCTAGTGCAGGGCTAAGTAATTGTCTCACCAGCATAAGGATTTGCTTTTGTCTCTCCTTCTCCCCCCATGTGTGTTACCACTCTCCCCAAATCTGCCCCAGAGGGTTGGAGAAATCCCCAGAACAGTTTTAGGGGGCATGCAGGGGGGGGGGGAGAGGACAGTCCCGTTGCACAAGTGGAATTACTTACACTCATGGGAGGTTACTTAATACTGCACTGAATACATACCTTAGCTGCCATATGAATGTGCATAGCATTGCACTATAGAAGAGTCCATAAATAGATCCTGAGAGTCCCTTTCAGGTGCCCGCCCTTGCAGTGGTGGAATAGATGTTGGATTGTTTGGCATAAGACTACTGTATTCCACTTGATCGTTTATATGAAAATATGGACATCGAACGCTTCCTTCAAGTAGTATCTATAATGCTGTGTAATATGAACATTTCCTTCCCAATATATTAGCTCCCTAGACAAGTATCTGATTCCATCTTGGAGAGTGCTTCTTTCCTTTCACAGTTGCTCCCCACCGAACTTTCAGAAACGATACACTCCGCAATCATCTGACTCCTTCCTTGGAAGTCCTTCTGTCTTCTGTTTAGCTAATCTAGTGTATGAAGCAACTTTTTTTCATTTGGGGAACTGCTTGTAATAAGAAAACTGAGGCCTGGTTCACATTTAACCACTTGCACATAGGAGATGTCTCCATGATCTGGTCTGGTCTGATGCCATTTGCAAGAATACCTGGATGGAGGTATATCATAAGAGCAGGTTAAAGCACATGGTTTCATGGCATGCCATCATCCATTTTGGTTATTGACGCTATAAAAATCAAGATTGAACTTCAGTTTGTTAGGCACTGTGAAGTTACACCATCTATAATTGTCTCTTTACATTGGGATGATATCCTTTTGTAACCAAGGTTATTAAGCCACTCTAGAGCTGAAGTTCTTCCAAAAGCTTTGCTGCATAATTTACAGCAGGGATGGGGAAGCTATGGCCCTCTAGATGTGGTTGGATTTCAGCTTCCATTAATAATAAAAATAAAAATAAATAATTCTATATCACCCTTCATCCAAAGATCACAGGGTGGTTTACAATATAAGAACCAATATAAATACATAACATTATTCCTGACCGTTGGTCGTGTTGACTGGCCCAATGGAAATTGGGAGTCTAACAATATTGGAAGTTGGAATCAAAGAGGTTCTCCAAATCTGATTTACTGCAGCACAAAACTCTAGGCCAAAAAACAAACAAGCAACAACCCTCAACAGCTTAACTGAGCTGAAAAGTGATTTCTCCCAAATTCGGTTTTATGTGGAGAGTCTTAATTTCATTCAATAGATGAAGGCTGGAAAGAGTTATATTACTGAAAACTGTATTTAGCCATCACGTATGAATAACTGAAAATTCTTTCATCGCAGAAACAGCTTTCTCTAAAACCTGACTGTTCTTCTGGCCAAATTTCTTGTTTCTCAAGGAGAAATTTAATTAACTTCAATGCCAAATCAGGAAGAGAATTTGGAAGGCAATTCCATGTCTCTTTTCAACTAAGTATATTTTTAGGGATTAGGGCAGAGGGATAATAATTGTGGTCAGCCAACCATCAGGGAGTGTGCAATAAATCAAGGCAGGTAAAAGTCTTCCCAAGGACACAGTGCTTCCAAATAATATATGTATAATATGTAATCTTTACACAGTGCCTTGTTGTATAACTGGGATGAAAGATACTTTGCTTTTTCTTGGAGAGGTGGCGGGCCACTGAAGAGGGAAATCTATTTCTAAAAGTGATGGATGTGGATCCTTATTTTACATTACTAAAAAGTGAAAAATTCCTTCTTACTAGAAATGGGCTGTCAGGGAACTGCCATCGGAAGGAAGGGAGGTGAAAGGGCTCACACAGGTTGGGAGAGACTCAGCAGCTGAAGAGGGAACCAGTAGGGGGAGAGGAGCTGAGCTGAGGGAAAGTGAGCTGGAGGGATGGCTCAGAGACACTTCCAGCGAAAACAGTGGGGAGGTTTCAGGACCTCCTGTAGGAACACCCACTCCTCGCCGGAAACTGTCACGCAGAGAGTCCAGAAGACGTGTTTCCGTTAAGGAGCTTTTATGTTGGAAGCGATTCCAAAGCAACCACTGTCGGAATCTGCTAGTGACTAGAGGAGCCATGTCTGAGGGGCTCCGTCACAGACAGAGGTTTGTGGACTTGAACAAACTCTGAGGGGATACTATTTTACGCACAAGCAGCTCATCATCCCATCACAGCATTCCGACAGTCTTTGAAAGCAGCTTGTGCAGGAGAAGGCATCATGAGCAACCCAGCCGGAACCGGAGAAGCAGGAGCTGGAGCGGGTCCAAGCCTGGAAGAAAGGTACCGGGTGTTGGAGGTCCAGCTAGCGCTGCAGACGGCGAGGCTTGAGGAGAGGAGGGCTCAGGATGCAGACAAAAGGGAAAGCCACCCAGCTCGCCAGAAAGGTACCAGGATTGGTGCAGAAGTTTGGGGGGGAGCCCAAAGACTATCATGGCTTTCGGACAGAGATGCAATATGCCCTCAATCTGCAGTTTGATGAATTCCCTGACGAGGAATCACGAGTGGCTTTCGTGATTGGGCATCTTGAAAAGGGGGCGAGAGACTGGGTTAGACCCCTGATGGCAGCGAATAGTGACGTCCTAAAGGACACGATGAAGTTCTTTCGCGCCATGGATCTGATGTTTTCCAGCGATATTGAACAGGGAGTGGTGCGCAGACAGTTAATGGCTTGCAAACAGGGGAGCCGATCTGTCCGTGAGTACTGGACTGAGTTCACCATGCTGGTTCACAGATTGGGGTGGGACTTATCGGCGGAACCCATTCAAATGCTCTTTGAAGAAGGGCTTTCTTCGGCTGTGAAAGACGAACTTTCCCGGGCGCCCAGGGCGGAGTCTATGGACCAGCTGACCAAATCAGCGCTGACCATAGGAGCGCGCCAGGAGGCGAGAGCATTGGAGAGGTGGGAAGGGAAGGGGGAACGTTGGAAGGAGTTCCGCATTCCAGACATTCCAGAGCCAACTTTCCCGCCGGCAGAGCCGATGGAAATCGGAACAGCGCGCGCGCGCAGTTTCAAAGCCCAGTGAGGGGGAAAGAAGGAGGGAAAACGCGCCCGGAAATGCTATCTCTGCCAACAGCCAGGTCACTTTGCCAGAGTCTGCCCCCAGAGGAAGGAATGGCAAGGGATGGTAGGAGCTGTGGAGGGAAGAGAGGAAGAAATACCGGAGCAAGTAAAAGCCAACGCCTGGCTGCCACCGTCGGGGCACAGCAGCCAGGCCAAAAAGCAAGTGAGATGGGCCCAGGAGTTCTCCAAATTTAACTTTGAGATTGGTTACGTGCCAGGCCCAGAGAACATTAGGGCGGACGCTCTCTCACGCAAACCTGAATATTTGGAGGGGGGGGAGCACCCGAAGAGAGACATGTCATTCCAGAGGACCGCTGGGTGTGTGGGGCGGCATTGGTGGGACAAAGAGAACTGGTAGAGGAAACAGAGAATGATGAATACGCCCAGAATAAGCTCAGAGGTCTTAGGGGTGAAGGAGAGGAACCAGGGGGTTTCGAGGAAAGAAATGGAGCTTTGTATTACAAAGGGGCACTGTATATCCCTGAAGGAGACTTAAGGGGGAGGGTACTCAAGCAGTTGCACGACAGCCCTACGGCGGGGCATTTTGGACAACACAAAACCATGTGGTTGGTCACCAGGGAATTTTGGTGGCCTAAGGTGAGGGAAGATGTACGTGAGTATGTAAGAGGGTGCGAGCAATGCCAGCGAGCCAAAGGGGAAAGGCGGGCGCCGGCGGGGCTATTAGAACCCTTACCAACCCCAGAACGACCTTGGGAGGCAGTGTCGATAGATTTTATGACTGATCTGCCGAAGTCCAAAGGGAAAACAGCCATCATGGTGGTGGTAGACCTACTAACAAAGATGTGCCACTTTGTAGCTTGCTCGCATGCAGTCACGGCGGAAGAGACAGCGAAGTTATTTGTAGAACACATTTTTAGGTTGCACGGGGTGCCATTGAGGGTGGTCTCAGACCGAGGAAAACAATTTACTTCCAGGTTCTGGAGGAAGCTCATGAGCTTACTGCAGGTGGAGGTCAATTTTTCGACTGCCCGGCACCCTGAAACCAACGGGCAGGCGGAAAGAGCAAACGGTGTCCTCCAGCAATACCTGAGGTGTTATGTCAATGACAGAGAGAATGACTGGGTAGAAAAGTTGGCGCTGGCGGAATTTGCCTACAATAATGCCGAGAATGTGTCCACAGGGATGAGCCCCTTCTTGGCTAATTATGGGTGTCATCCCAGGGCTTTCCCAGGGGAGATGGGGAGAGATGGAGCGTCCCGGCAGCCGAGCATTTTGTGGAAGAAATGGAAGCAATCCATCGTCAGCTCCAACTCAACTTAGAAAGGGCGAAGGAAGAATACAAGAGGCAGGCAGACAAGAACCGAAGGGAAGGTGAAACCATAAGGGTGGGAGATAGGGTGTGGCTGTCAACCCAAGGGTTGCCGTTCAAAGGAGGTTGTAAGAAATTAAGACCCAGGAGGTTGGGTCCCTTTGAGGTCATTCAACAGGTCAACCCAGTGGCTTTCAGGCTCCGGTTACCCAACCACATGAAACTGCACCCAGTATTTCACAGGTCGTTACTGTCACCGTACGAAGGGGACGAGAAGGGATGGCCACTCGGGGACCGGTCATAGAAGAAAGAGAATGCAGCAGCCATGTGGCAGAAATCCTCGACGCCAGGTGGAAGGGGAATCAGGTGGAGTATTTGGTAGCGTGGGAAGGAGAACCGGAGTCAGAAAACACTTGGGTAATGGCCGAAGATATCAATGACGAGGTATTGATAGAAACGTTCCATCAAAGGTTCCCAAGGAAACCTCAGCCTGTGGAGAGGTTCCGGAGGGAATACTTTGGGACCACTGATGAGGAGGAGGAGTTGGAAGGATTCCCGGACTCGGAAGGGGAAGGGGAGATGGACTCTGAGGAGGAGGAGTACTTCGAGACCAGGAACCGCAACAGGTGGAGAGAAGTGTTCGAGACATCGGAAGATGAAGGAAGTTCATTCCGGGGTTTGCCTCCTCACCGCCCGTAGAGGAGGGGGCGAGAGGGGGTGAAAGGGGCCCTGGAGGGGAGGTGGATGTCAGGGAACTGCCATCGGAAGGAAGGGAGGTGAAAGGGCTCACACAGGTTGGGAGAGACTCAGCAGCTGAAGAGGGAACCAGTAGGGGGAGAGGAGCTGAGCTGAGGGAAAGTGAGCTGGAGGGATGGCTCAGAGACACTTCCAGCGAAAACAGTGGGGAGGTTTCAGGACCTCCTGTAGGAACACCCACTCCTCGCCGGAAACTGTCACGCAGAGAGTCCAGAAGACGTGTTTCCGTTAAGGAGCTTTTATGTTGGAAGCGATTCCGAAAGCAACCACTGTCGGAATCTGCTAGTGACTAGAGGAGCCATGTCTGAGGGGCTCCGTCACAGACAGAGGTTTGTGGACTTGAACAAACTCTGAGGGATACTATTTTACGCACAAGCAGCTCATCATCCCATCACAT